GGGCAGGGAAAGAACTAACGTACAGCAGGAAGAATTTCAACAGCCCAGGTAAAAGTGAGTTCACCTTCAGCTGTCCTGAAAAATAAAGTTGAGCCCTGGCTAGCGTGGTTCAGTGGTTAAGAGTGTTGGCCTGCACACCAGAGGGTTGCGGATTTGGTTCCCAGTCAACGGCATGTACCGGGGTTGCAGACTGGACCCCAGCCCTGGTTGGGACGTGCATGAGGCAACCAATCGATGTGTCTCTCTCACATTGATGTTTCTTGCTCTCTTTCTCCCCTTCCCTCTCTCCCAATTTCTCTAAAAATCAATGGAAAAAATATCCTCTGCTGGGGAATAACCAAAATAAGTAAGTAAAGTAGACCCAAACTCCCCATTTTCTGAATATGTCTGTTGGGCTCATTGAGTTCACTGAGTTGTCCTTATGGAAATTGTATAATTCAACTCTGATAGTAAGAAAATGTTTCCTGTGTCAAAGACTGGTTCTGATAGGAACAATTCCCCTGGGGCCCCTCAGGCCTTGATCAATCAGGTTAATGTTCCTGGCCTAGAATAGCTCCCTTTCCCTGCCTGCTTCCCATGGCCCCCCACCTACCCAGGCCTGCTCCAGCCCACCTTCTCTAGGAGACTTTCTTGACTACCTGGAGTTTCTTCATCTCCTCCTGTAGCACCTACTAAATCTCTCTTTAAGCACCTGACCCCCGAGTCTGTTTCAAGAGCACAGAGAACTTTACTTTGCTCACTAACTGTACCCCCAAAGCATGGACCATTTCTTAGTACACAGTAGGCCCTCAGTAAATAGTGAATCCATGAATGAATGAACAAATGCCTCCTGCCTCATGGCATCTAGGGCAGTTACTCTGGTGTGTTCCTGGTTCTGATTCCTCTAGACACAAAATTCACTGGGGCAAGGACTGTGTCTCATTCATTTTTAAAATCCCTGCCACTCACCCTTCTGCTTAATAAATACTTATTAAAAGAGGAAAGAAGATGATTTTGGGACATTTACAATACAGAAAGCATGGAGGTGGGGGTCAGTGGCAAGAGTTATTTGGATTCCAAGGGTGTGGGTAATCCTGGAGAACAACATACTATATTTACCTAGAAACTTATTTATATCTGCTTCCTTCCAGAGAGGGATTGAGGTGGCTTACAAAAATACACATAATACAAGGTAAAAAACAAGTTGGTGAGGAAATCAGGACGAGGGGAAAATAAGAGGAAAAAATAAGATCAAGTCGGCCGGTGAGAAATGGGCCAAAAAGTTGGCCAAGTTTTCCCACAGCCCACTGGAAGCGGAAGTCCCTCTCTCTTCCCCACCCGCAGGGGCTGCCACAGGCCCCACAAGGCCTCCCAGGCCACCAGCCCCAGAGGCCTGGCCTAGAAGTTTAGGGGTCCTGGGGTGGGCTGTGTCTAGGGGAACGCCACTGTGAGGACTATCCCAGGCCCAAACGTGGGGTCCCAGGTTGCTGATAGGGGCTTATAATCTGAGGGTTGAAGGATCGTTCTTGCATTCAACGCTGCGAAGGTTCCGGAGCTGACAACTCCATGCCATTCGGCCAACTCTACCAGCGGCCTACTAAGCACGCGCTCCGCACTTAGGGCACAAAGATGGAGCTGCGCGCCTTGCACCCCGCCCCACCCCCACCCCCGGCTCCAGACAAAGGGGCAGGCCACCCCTCCCCCAGCCTCTCCTGGGCGATCCCCTCCAACGTCCTCTCCCCTCAGGCCGCCCTTCGGTGACTTCCTCTCCCCTCCAGGGGCAGCCTGGGGACTTCTCAGGGGCTGCGTTCCACCTGGGCGCTGGGCGGGCAAGGGGCGCGCGGAAAGGCGGCCTCCCCGCCCACCCCCAGCTCGGGGCGGCCCCGGCCCCAGCCCCGCGCCCTCTTCTTTGAACCGGTTCTATTGGCCCCCAGCGCCTTCCTGCCCGGGTGCCCAGCCCCCACCCGGCCAAGCACGTGCTGCCCCGGGTGGGGGCTGGGCCCACTCCCGCCTCGGCTCCCCACCCCCACCGGAAACATTCCTGAAACATTCTTGAAAGTAGGAGGCCCGGCCCCTCCGGTTGCCTACCCCGCCTCCACTCCGTGCTCAGGGTTTTCCTGGAGTGCCCCCTCCACCGCCGGCTTGCCCCTTGAGGAGGGGGCTGGGCCGGGGCCCCGCTGACCGGGAGGAAGAAAAACATGAGTCACAGCCGTGTGTCACTGGGCCGCACCGCAGTTCCCTGCATCACGGGAGGTGTGGAAGGCTGCCTCGGGGACCTAGGGCGGGGAGGTGCGCTCTGGAGGGCCCTGGCCCGGCCTGCAGGGCGCGCCACCAGAAGCGCCCTTTCTTCTCCCACCGCCCTCCCCGCCATCTTCCCACTTGGGCTTCCTTCTCGGTCGTGCAACAAGTCTTTGTTGAGCCCGCGCCACAGGCGGGCATCGCCTGCGTGCTCAGCCCCTGCCCTCAAAGTGCTTCCAGGCAGTCACTGGCTCACGCTTTTCTGTTTCTTAAAAAGTCGTAGCGCATGGGGCCAGGGCGCCAAGTGGGAGAGCACGTCTCTGAAGGAACCGTCCTTCGGGTTTACTCGCATCCAGCCGGTCGTTTGTTTTGCTTGAAGGATGCACCTTGATTAAGGTCCACTCGCGGCCATTAATAAATTAAAACTGATTTCACAAGTTTCATGTTTGAATTTCACAAGACCGGTTAGCCACACGCGGGTTGGCACTGAAATGTACATGCTGACACCTGTCCGCCCAGGGAACTCTACCAGCCGCGTATCAGGGCGAAGGGGACGGCGGGTAGGCCGCGGAACTACCCAGCCGGCGGGGTTCTCTCCACCCCTCCCGCCCGCGCGGACCCCGCAGGCACCAACACCGCCCACATCTTCGCGCCCCGCGGACGCCAGACCTTTAAGTCCCGAAGACCCCTAGAGGTGATTCCGCCGGAGACTGCCCCCTCCCTCCCCGGTTGCAGGCAGTGAGGACGCCCTCCCCCGCTAACCCCGCGAGAAGCTCCTTGACGACCCCTCTGTGCCCTTTCCAGGTCTCCCGATCCGACACAGTGGGGAGTGGGCCGGCACCTCGGTTTCTCAGCCCGCCCCCGGCGCTGGCGCCGGCAACTGCTTGCCCCTCCCCGAAGTCAGCACCCACCCGCGGGGCGGCTGGCGGGCGGCCGCCCTTTTAAATCCCCGGGCTCATTTGCATGGCCCCGCCCCCTCAGTGACACGGCTGGCGCGGGCGGGCCCGTCCCCCCTGCCCCTGGGTCGCTCTTTTTAAGCTCCCCTGAGCCGGGGCTGCGCTCCTCTAATTGGGACTCCGAGCCCGGGCTATTTCTGGCGCTGGCGCGGCTCCAAGAAGGCGTGAGTTCGCGGCCCCTCCGGTGGCTTCTTTTTTTTTTATATCTATCATTTAATTAAATTATTTATTTATTGAGGCCGCGCACGGGCCGTGCCTAGCTTCCTGCCCCTCGCCATCCTTCGGGGGAGGGGGGATATTTTTGTCCCCCCGCTTGGATGTGACACATAAATACCCTGCGGGGGCCCGGGCGGCGAGCACGCGGCGGCGGCGCTCTCTGAGAACCTCTGCTCTCTCCCGGTTTCAGATCCGCATTTGCTACTAGCGGCGGCGGCGGCGAAGCCAGGCCGGTCCTCAGCACCCAGCACCGTCGCTCCTCGCAGCCCGGAGCGCGCACCACAGGCCGGCGGCCGAGCTCGCGGTGAGTCGTCCCCGGGGTCCGCGACGGAGGGGGGCGCCCGCGCCCCCGCCTGCCCTCCCGCGAGCCGCCGGGGGCTGCAGCGCGCGCCTCCAGCTTTATTCCCAGGCCGGGACTGCGCGAGCCGCGGGCGGAGGAGGGCCGCGCGGCGCGGGGGCGGACGGCGGGGCCCGCAGGCGTGGGGAGGGCGTCCGCACCCCTTCCCCCGCGCCGCGGGCGCTCTGCGGGGGGCGGGGACCCGGGAAAGGCGCGCGGTGGGGGAGGGGGCGCGCGGCTGCGGCGAGCGCGAGTTGTGCACCCGGCGGATCCCGATGCACCTCGCGCCCGCCGCTCCCGCCCGAGCCCAAGCCCGGGCCGGGCCCTGGGTGAGGGGGGCGGGGAGAGGAACAGGCTGCGGCGCAGCGGGAGAGTGGGGAGCCGGCCGTCCCCCGCAGCCTTGGGAAGTTCTAGAAAGAAGTGAGGGGGATGGGCAGGAACCCCGCAATTCGGCCCTACTCCCGCTCGGCCTTTACCTGGTGCCCCTCTTCGCAGATGAGGCCGAAGCGCGGGCCTGGGTTTGGGGCTTCATCCCGACCCCACCTCTGGCCCGGCCCACGCGCTTCTTCATCCCCCAGGGCCAGGCCTGCCCTCCACCCCCACAAACTGGTTTCTCTGCTTTGCTAGGCTCTGTTGGAACTAGTCCCTTTGACTCCCCGTTTCAATTTATTTTCCTAGGGCTTTATTTTGCGAGGAGGGCGCGGAGGAAGGTGGCTTTCTTCCTTTCCCCTTCGCCCGCGCGCGCCAGGTTTCCTGCCCCAAGGCGGGCTTGGGTGCCCCCTCTGGCAGGAAGTGGGGCCGGGTGCACCCGCGTGGCAGTGCATGCGGTCGGGGTGCACCGGTTTCCCGCGCCTGCTAGAGCGGCCTGCGCCCCTCCCCCCGCGCGTTCTGGCCCCTAGTCCCGCCGGTCGACCTGCAACGGCCAAGCGCAGACACTTGCAGAGTCACCCGAGGGCCGGGTGTGGATCAGGGGCCACAGGGACTTAACCGCCTCCAGACGGGTAAGGAAAGTGGTGGGCTAGAGGATCGCCAGGAACCTACTCCATCCTGTTCGTCAACTTGCTGTGTGACTTTAAACAACTTATCAGGGCTCTCTGGTCTACTTTTTTGGTAAAGCAAGGTAGTCCCATGATGATTTTCTAGAGTCATTACTGCAGATTCTCTATTTGTGGAACACACGTTATGTGCACGGTGTATAAATTGAAGGATTAAGATTGGGCCCTAAACATGGCTTCTCCACGCCAGGCTTCTCTGATGTTCAGAAACAGGTGGAAGAGACAGCATTTGTTGGGCTCACCAGAGAGTACCTCAGGCCTTCTTCATTCAGTTCATGGAGGTCTGGATTTGAGGTTGGTGAGTGTGGACTCAAGGGGTCCCCAGCAGCAAGCAGGAGGTAGGAGGAAGCACCACATGAAACAGCAGCTTCAAGGAAGACCCACCAGGATCCCTGCAGGCGGGGCCCAGGTTGTCTGGGGTCAGGGACCAGCATCACCCAACTAGAACCCCCTCTCTGAGGGGGGCCTCCAGCAGACCTCTTATGAGGTCAGTATGCATTTAGCTGATTAATTTTGATGTTTAGTTTGAAAGAGAACCTTTGGCGTAATAGAAGATCCTAATCACTGCTTGTAATTACAAAGCAGCCCCCGCCACTAATGTTGGAGCAGGATAAATCATCAGCCACCAGGGTCTTAAAGTCTGAAATGTTATAAAATAGAGTAAATACCAAAAAGCTCTGCCGTCTGGAGCATTGAAAAGCTTTGAGGATGGAGGCCTTGGGCCCTCCATAAGTCACAAGTTTGCAAAAAAAAATGTTCCCCTCTCTTTGGGTTACAATTGGAAATGGTCTGAAAAATATGAAACGGGGAAGAAATCGTTTTTAAATGTTCTAGTTCTCATTTTGAATGAAAACTTCCCATTGTTTAGGCATTTTAAAACTGATTTGGTTTGACCTTTGGAGCAGGCTGGAGAGGTAGTTGAGACAGATGTCTTACCTATATGCCCATTTTACAGGCTGAGGGGCTTTCAGAAGTGAAGCCATTTGGGCCCAGCCCACCCTCTACAAGTGCAGCTGGTCCACGCGGAGGTGTGGAGCCGTAGGTTCCCTAATTCAAGTTTCTTGTCTAACTTGGAGATAATAACTGGGAAGATTTTGTTTTGTTTTAATATATTTATTGAATTGAGAGGGGAAGAGAAAGAGAGAAACATTGATTTGTTGTTCCACTTAAGCGTTCATTGGTTATAATATGTGCCCTGACCAGGGATGGAACCTGCAACATGGGTGTACCAGGACAACACTTTCACCAGCTGAACTACCCAGCCAGGGCCTCAACCATCCTTTTTTTTTTTAATCCTCACTCGAGGATATTTTTCCATTTTTTGTACAGATAGAGTGGGAGGGAGAGAGAGGAAGGGAGACAGAGGGAGAAACATCGACGTGAAGGGACACATCGAGTGGCTGCCACCCGCACAACCAACCAGGGCCGGGGACAAACTGCAACCGAAGCACGTGCCCTTAGCGGGAACCGAACCCGGGTCTCTCCGGACCGCAGGCCGACGCTCTAACCGCTGAGCCAAACTGGCCAGGGCTCAACCATCCTTTTTAAGTCTCTGGAAGAGACTCCTAACTATAGGATGTAGGTGTCGTTCCGGGGGGAGGTTTTAGGTAAATTCAAATAGTAGGGCTGATTAAACTGAAACAGGCTTCTAAGAAGGGAACATGCTAGAAAAGGACTAAGAAGCTTTTTAGGATCAGTCCCACCAGGACTCTAGAGGGCCAGCTGCAAGGGTTCATCCCCATCGGAGATGTCCCCTCCTATCAGCAGGTATCAGAGGGAAAGATCTCATCTGACTCCAGGTGTGCAGGATGGGGTGAGGGGAGAGAGGACACCACTCACCTTTTCAGATTTGGGCTCTTTTTCCTCCCCGCACCTTACCCACTGCAGTTCGGCCATTTTTCCTCTTCCCAAATTGTGATCCCATCTTTGACTCCCACGCTTTACCCTGGGAGAGAACAGAGGGGCTCTGGTGGGGCCGGGCACCCACCCTAGCCATGCGGTTGGTATGCAGTGTCCGGGTTGGTCCTTGTAGTGTTTGTCTTGAGCCTTGTCAGCGAGGTGCAGGGAATTGAAGCCCAGGGCTGCCAGATATCTGGGCTCGTTTTTCCTGCTTACCTTTCCTCCCTTGCTCCCGGTGAGCTCCCCAGGCTCGGTGAAAGGGCAGAGCTGGCTAGAGAGAATTCCTCTCATTCCCCACTGGTTTGAGGACCCCACTGCATCTGTACCTTAGCCCAGAGCAGCTTCACCCACAGCCAGGTCTGGGCTGCCTGTGCCCTGGCCCTGTGAGGTGGCAGGACAACAAAGAAGCCTTCTGAACAAGAGATAAGGAGCTGATTAGGGCCAACGGCCCAGCCCCACCCTGTGGTAGCAGGGTGGGAATTCTGGGCACCCCTGGGAGCAGGCGCTTTGGCCTCAGTGCACTGGAGGGTGGGAGGGGTGCGGGAGAGGGGGTAGGAGGTGGCTGAAATGGAGTATTTTGTCTAAAACAGCTTTTCCTTGCCTCCAGCATCCCAGCCATCCCTCCTCCACCTGCTCTGTAGAGAAGGGAAGATGAGCGAATCGAGCTCAAAGTCCAGCCAGCCCTTGGCCTCCAAACAGGAAAAGGACGGCACCGAGAAGCGAGGGCGGGGCAGGCCTCGAAAGCAGCCTCCGGTGAGTCCTGGGACTGCGCTGGTAGGGAGTCAGGTGGGTGTCCAAATCCTTGCCTCAGTTTACCCCTTTGGGCTAGGGAATCGAAAACAGGAATGGAGGGGTGCAGAATCGTTTCTGTCGGCATGTGTCCTCCCCACACCCTACATTCCTCAACCCTGTCAGATCCTCCTGAGACCCCGAGAGAGATGGGGACTGACCCCGTCAGAAAGTCCAAGCCCACCTGGCCCTGCAGCTGCTCTTTATTTCCAGTCACCGTGGACCAGTGTGTTTCTAGAGCGATAAAGACTCTGCGAACATTAAAAGCAGTAGAAGTCTAGGATTTTTAGTCATGAGATTCATCTCACGTATTACTCTGTTCAATTACTATCATAGAAACTTCTGGATACTTCCAGCCAGTTTTTATACTTCCTCATCCCAGGCCAGTAACCAGGACTTGTTCAGGGCCTCATTGCTAGTGTCCCTGGATTAGGCTTTGCGCTCGCTGGCCCTGTAAACAGAAAGTGAAGCCTACGAAGTTGAAAATGGTGGGGAGTTGGTGCAGAGTGACCCTCAGAACCCAGGCAGCCTTGCACTGTGGGGCACCCCAGGAAGCATGGCCATCAGGCTGGGGACCATCTGTTGTGTGGCGGAGATCTTGGTTTCTCTCCTGGAGGGCAGCTGTGGGTGCGGTGCAGTTACTTCCCCTTCTGGGAGTGAGGAGACCGAGGTCAGTCCTTGCTCTGTACACGGCAAGCCCCCAGCTTCCCCATCAGTGGAGAGAGTGGTCTGTCCTGACTCTTCAGGAGACGTGAGTCATGAGGAGTCTGGGAGGTGGCGTTCAGCTGCCTCTTTCAGAGCCCATTGTGGTGGGACTCATCCTCCAATCTGGTTCCCTGGGCCTCCCCACCTGCCTGTTAGCTGGCGTGGGGTCAGGGGTCAGAAAGGGTTTGGGTTACTGGACCATGGTTAATAACAGCCCACGGGAAACCATATCTGATAGGCCTTTACTGCCCAGCTTCTATGCATCATGCAGCAACTTTTTATTGTCTTCAACTTACTAAAGTTTTAGTGGCAACAGTGGCAGGGATCTCTGGGGTTTCTTCTCCCTGGGAGGCAGCCTAAAGGGGGCCAGTTATAGGAGGCTGGAGGCTCCCTCCAGGGGGAGGCATTCTTTCCACTCCTCTGCATCTCGGGAAGTGTCCAGCATGCAATACGAACAGGTGGGCACTGACTGGCCCAGAGCTAGACACTTTTCACTTAATTTTGTTTACACCCTGCGAGGTAAGTCTTGTCACCATGTACAGATGGGGAAACGGAGGTGTGGGCATTGAGTGTCTTCCCCAAGGTCTTAGGACTAGTCAGTGGCAGAGCTGGGACAGGGACAGCATTGTCTTAACTGTCTGTCCCCATGACACCTTTCCTAGGTGTCTTCTGTCACAGGGAAACAAGGGAAAGGGGGTTTGCAAAAGATGGTCAAACTGAGAACTAAATCGTGACGACTTGTCCCTGCCATTGTGTATTCCTGGGTTGGGGTGATGGGTTGTTGGGGGGGGGGCAGAGGGCTCTGTCTTCTGGAAGGGGTGGGACAGGTGGCATCTGTGTCTGATTGCCTCTTTTATCTTTGCAGAAGGAGCCCAGCGAAGTGCCAACACCTAAAAGACCTCGGGGCAGACCAAAGGGGAGCAAAAACAAGGGCGCTGCCAAGACCCGGGTGAGGCTGGGGGCGGCGATCCTGGTGCACAGAGAGGGAGGCGTGGGAATGAGCTGGCTTACCTGGGACCTGCGCCCTCTGCCCTGGTGTGTGGGTGGCAGGCAGTGGGGCTTTGCTCGTTGGGGAAAGCAGGGGATTGATGACTGAGGTCTCACTTCTGGGGTCTTGGTCGTCCTGCCTGGGACAGTGGGGAAATTAAGTCAGGAGTCCTGCGGCATTCTGGTCTGGAGAAGGGAGAGTTGGGAAGAGTGAAGGGACAGCCCAGCCAGCCCCTGTGCTGAAAATGTTACTTCTGTCCCGGGGTCCCCTGGACACTGAGGAGGTGGGGTAAGCAGGGAAGGCCAGCTTCCCGGTGGCATCAGGCTTTCAGAGAAGTTGTTTTGTTTTTTATTTTATTTTTTCTAAGACACGACTCATATCCTCTGAGTCATGGGTGGAGGAGGGAGTGGGGGGCGTGTGTATTGAGGGGGGCAGTGTGGCGGCCAGTCATCGCCAGCTGGACTTGGGTGGGCCTGCGGCTGGGGTGATTCCTGGCCTGCCCTGGCAGAGGTAGGCAGCTGCATCCCTCTCTGATTCTCGCCGTCATTGGATGAGCACTGTCAAGGACATTTGTGATTTAGTGGCTCTTTTCTCTGACCATCTAGAAAACCACCACAGCTCCAGGGAGGAAACCAAGAGGCAGACCCAAAAAACTGGTAGGTGAAGGGGGTGGTAGCTTGGCACTTCGGGTTGGATGCTAAGAATGGGCACGGCCTGCCTGATCCTGTGCACCCCCATGGAAGGACAGCTCGCCCTGGCCCACACCTAGCCCAGGGCTTCTAAAGGGCCGTATGGCCGTGAGAAGTGAGGGGTCCCAGGTACAGACCAGACCCTTGCCCCCTGCACTAGTGGAGGGTGTCTCTGCTCCCAGTGGGTATCTTGCAGGTCCTCTAGTCTGTCCCTCATTACAGTAATGGGGAAAGGACATCACACGGGAAAGGGGTGAGGTTTGTCTTGACCCTGGTCCTGGGATGGGAGCAAGAAGCAAAGAGCTCAGCCCTGGGAGGGGTCTGTGCTTAGGTGGGAGCTGAGGCGCGATCCCAAGTCACCTTCATTTCCAGGCCCTCAAAACAGCTGGTAGTAGAGGAAGTAGGTGTGCGAGTCAGGAGACTGCCTCTAGGGGGCTCCCCTGCAGTCAGCCGTCCCAGCCTTCGTTCTCTGCCCTTTCCTATCCCCAACCTGCTCCCTGAACTCCCTGAGGCATTCATTCCTCGAGCTGAGCCACCGTGGTTAGGAGGGCTGGGGGTGCTGGCCGGGCCCCAGGAGTGAGTAACAGGAAACAAGTTGTTTTGGAGTTTGTGCCTGGCACGGGGGCCGCAGCCCGTGGTGTCCCAACATTCCCGCCCCGTGAGTGAGCCCCGGCGGCACACACTTCCCCTTCCTCTCCCCACCCTGGCCTGGGGTCAGCCTGCGGCCTCGGCCACTGCCCCACAGCCCAGCAGCTGCCCCTGCACCCAAGGCCACCTGGTTCCCGACGCCCTCCAGTCACCCCTCCCGTTTCCTCTCCCTGGCTGCTGCCTCCCTCGCTCCACTTCCTCCAGCCTCCTAGCTGCTGCGCTGAGCTCTGCCCAGGCCCCCGCCAGGCCCGGCCCCGGGGTAGGGGAGGATGGCTCTGTGTGAGAGCAGCATGTGTGTGGTTTTCTTCCCCTCCCTTTAAATTCTTCCTTTTTTATGAATGAAACTGGGCTGTGGAGGTTGCTGAGTCACCCACACACTCAGCCCTGACTCATCCCATCTTCTGGAGAGCCAGGGAGGGGTGGGGGCAGCAGGCCTGTGTTCCCTCCCCCACAGCTGGGGGTGGAGGAGGAGGAGGGCCAGGCCTGGCACGGGTGCTGATGGCCCTGCCCACCCCACAGGAGAAGGAGGAAGAAGAGGGCATCTCGCAGGAGTCCTCAGAGGAGGAGCAGTGACGGCACCACCCGCTTCCTCACCGAGGAGCAGTTTCCTTTTGGGACTGGACAGCTCCGCTCCCACTGCCCCGGCCCCTACCCCAGGCCCCACATCACCGCCACCCACCTGCGCCCGCCTGCACCGCCACACTACACAGCACACCAGCCAGGCCCTGGTGGCCCGAGTGGGGAGCAATTTTCCTTTGGTCTCAGTTCCCCGCAGCCCCTCACCCACCCACATGCACTCACTTGCCCTCCCGGACAAAGCTGACTTCCACGTAGCCACACCCTGCACCTGCTGCGGCCCTGCTTCTGCGTGGTGCGGACATGCTGACTGGGCTCCTGGCTTGGGGGCCCCTTCCCCACTCTTACCTCTGGCATCCCATTAGGGGGCCTGGGAGGGCTCCCCTGGCCTTAAAGGGGCCGGGCCCCATCTCACTCTGACACGCCCACTCCACTGTCCTGGCAGCAGCAGCAGCAGCAGCACATGTGGCTGTGGACAGGGCTCTTCACTCCCAAGATGCCCCAACCAACTCGTGTCTCACCAGGTGGGGCTCACACCCACTTTCCTTCCTTCCCCACCTGCCCAGTCTCTACACTAGTTTGGACAGCCCCACCCTGGGACACAGGAAGGAAGGCAGGAGGGGCATGAGCCTCCCACCCCATCTGCTTCCACTCTAGGCCTCCAGTCTCCCCTCCCTCGTATGGGGCACTAACAAGGAGCTAGCCTTGCCCACTCCCACCCCCTGCTCCTCCCCACCCCCCAAGGTTCTGGTTCCATCTTTCCTCTGTTCACAAACTACCTCTGGACAGTTGTGTTGTTGTTTTTTGTTCAACGTTTCATTCTTAGACATCTGTCATTGCTGCTGCTACCAGCGCCAAATGTTCACCCTCACTGCCTCCTGTTCTGCCCACACTCCCCTCCAAGATGCTCTTGGGAAGGGGCCAGGGGCAAAGCAGGCTGGGAATAGACTGCCCCAGTCCCAGGGAAGGTGGGGCTCTTGCCCCTCGGATGCTGCAGCAGAGTGAGCAGCGGGGGGCGCCTGTGTTGATGTCGGAGAGTGTGGGGCCACCTTCTCCCCCTGTTCTCCTGGGGAGGAGGTGGCCATTATTTGTCCCAGCCTGGGCCCCCCCCCCTCTGGTTTCCTATTTGCAGTTACTTGAATAAAAAAATATCCTTTTCTGGACTGGAGTCTTGCTGTGTGGTGGGTATCTGGACCAGGTCAAGGTGGAGAGCAGGGATGGGGGGCGGGTGCTTGGAGGTGCCCTGCCCAGCTCTTGAGGCTGGGGCAGGGGGAGAAAAAGCACACAGCAGCTCCAGGGGAGGTAACTTAAGGCACTCTTGAAGAAATCACACCCCTAACCACAAAACATTTTATTTACAAAATATATATACTGAATACTATACATCAGGCCCAGTCACCAAGGAAAATGTCAAAGCCAAGTCAGGGAGGGTAAAGAAAGACGGGGCAGAGCTCTGCCCACCCCCAGCCACCCCAAAAGGGAAAAGCTGCCCTAGAGGACAGTAGGCTCAGCCCACAAAGGGCTGACTGGGCAGTGAGATGATGGAGCTGGGATGGGGGGGAGGGGGAGCAACAGGCAGCAAAGCCTGGACACTTCAGGTCCCCAAGGTTCTAAAGATCAGGGCAAGCGTCAGGTCTTAACATCCAACAAGGGCATCCGCTTGTGTTGGTAGCCACTCTGCCAGCCATGCACCACCTGTGGGGGAGACCACCACAGCTGGGTTCTGGCCCCTGGGAGTCCACAGCACAGCCTTGGAGGAGGGACCTGGCTAGTCACAGCCCAGGTGGGGAGGGCTGAGGGTAGAACCAGGCTCTAGTTTCAGGGGTGAGTATGGGTGAAAACAAAGCAGACTCCCCCCTCTGCTGATTTCCTGTCCCAGTGCTCACCTTCGTGTCTCCCACATCAGAGAGTAGCTCCTGCTCAGCCTCATGTAGCTCCTCAGCAGGGTCGTAGCTGTACACTGGGAGCAGGTGATGGCGAAGCCGGTCTACCCTGCGGAGCAGGGAAGGGGGCTCAGCTCAGGGGGCCCACCCCCTTCAAACATCTGACTGCCCTTTCTCCACTCCCCTAGAATCTAACAACACATGTCTGATCTACTAGGGGCCTCTCCCCAGGGGGTAAGCTGAGCCTGGGCAGAAAAACCTAACAATGGGTGGAGGGGATTCCAGGCTTGTATCGGATGGCTGAGGGGCATCTGACATGTATTCAGAGAACTCAGATCCTATGATAAGAAATTTAAGCCGAATGTGGGGGAGGTAATGCTAGGGGGCAGGGACACTCACCGCTTTTTCTTCTGGACATACATTATCTGTAACAGAGACACAGCACTGTGGAGGCTGGGAGCCCAGGATAGCCACCCACTTCCACACCCCTCGCCGCAGGACAGCTTGAAATGCTGTGTGCAGACTGGACCAGGCCCACCCAGCCCTGCTTAGCAAAGGAGTGGGTGTACACGGTGGATGTGGGGACTCCTTACCACAGCCACCACCACCCCGACCAGGGTGATGAGGAAGAATGGCCCCAACACATAGCCCACCATGGAGTCGCTGTTGGCCTGGGGGGCATTGGGCACTGTCGTGTTACTCATGACATCGGCAGCTGGAGGGCTGGGTAGTCAGCATGGGCAGTAGTGCCTTGGGAGGGTGCCTCCAGCTGGGCTCCCTGGGGAGGAGGAAGGGAGGTCATCAATTTCACCCAGAGTGACATCCAGGCTATGGATCCCCTCCAAGAGCTGGTGATATATAAAAACTTAGGTCAGGCAGTGGGACAAGACCAGGAATCCTCCAGGTCCCCTAACCCTAACCCTCCAATGACTCTCAGCAAATCCTGGGTGTAAAGGGCACCTAGGGGAGGCCCAAACCCAGGGACTGAGTTCTGCCCAGCTCCTACTCCCAAATCAGGGTGGAGCCCAGCTCAGGTGCTGCCCAAACATTTGCAGATGTCAACTCCTGGGGAAAGGTTAGATATAGGTTCCCAGCTCCTGCCCCGACCTCCTGGGGCACTGGGCTGCCAGCACCTATTCAGTGCAGCAAAATGGGAAGATTGGGCAAAAATATGAGGGCCCTGCACCATGGCCTAGGAGGTGAGGTAGGAGCATCTGAAGGAGTCCGCCTCAGTCCTGATCCAGTCCCCACACTTCAGGCTAGGTGCCTCCAGGGAGGAGGGTCTGGACATCCTCTCCTCTGTGTCTCCTGCCTGGGTGGACACAAGTGGTTAGGGAAAGACTGCATCTGTGAGGTGAAGTCCCCTCCCTCTGACCCCACCCAGGGCTCCGCTCAGGTCCCTACTCTCCTGGCCTGAGCTGACAGCGAAGGCGAGTCAGACCGATGCCAGGAGACTGGAAATGGGTGGCTGCACACAAGATGCCCTCGGTCCCTGACCCCGGTTCACCTGTCTCCATCCGAGGGCAAGGTGTGAGCTACCTGTCCCGGTGATCGTGGGGTCACTGGGCTTGCTTAGTCGCACGCACACCGTCCCATGGTCGAGAATACATGTCGAGGTGGGAGGGTGTCAGGCCGCTCCTAGGATGCGGACTAGCAACAGCAAGCGGGAGGTGGTTCCCAGGGCTCTGGGAGGCTCAGGGAGAGCGCAGAGGGGCCCCGGCATCCTGTAACCCCGGCATCCCGAGGCGTGGACCCGTGCCAGCGCTCTGCAGCCCATCCAACCCGGCCATGCCTTACCTCCCGCAGCTGCAGCCGGGACAGGAACGCCCTCGGTCGGCTCCCGGGCCCCGGAAGAGCCTGGAGGCGCGTGATCAAAGGACCCGGGGAAATGGGCGGAGCTTCAGCTGCGGAGCGCAGCCAATCCAGTGGCGGAATGCAGACGGCCCGGTGACTTCTGGAGCTGCCAATCCGGCGGCGTGAAGGCGGGGACGGCCCGGCTTGCAGGATCTACCCCGCGGCGGCAGGGGGCAGCCGAGGGCTGCGCTGCAGGGGGAGAATAGTGCGCGGGAGGGGCGGAGCGCGCGGTTTCCCGGCGTGCCCCGGGGCGGAGCCGCGATGCTCCCACGCTTGAGGCTCAGGTTCTCCTGCGGGCGTCCTCGCTCCCCTTCTAGTTGGAACCCAGGTATTGAGCAAGGCACTCTCTAACATTTCGCTCAGGCGTGCGGCGACTGGCGGCACGTTCCTCACGGCAGGACCCTGCGCCGGCCCGCAAGGCCTCCAGCGTGGGCTGCACCCTCGCGGTCCTGGCGTGCGCAGAGGGTAGCTCGGCAGGCTGGGTTAGCTCCGGCACCGCCGCGGGCCACCCACGCTGCGCCTCGGCCCAGCATCTGTGGAACAGGCTTCTGAGGAGGAAGCGGTAACAGGCGCGGGGAGGCCAGCACGCAGCGTGCCCTGGATGTTCAACTCCCGGTTAACTTCGGGGGGCGGGCACAGATGGAGAGCGGGGTGCAGTCCGTTGGGTTACAGCCACTTCCTAAGTAGGTGAAATTGGATCAAAGCTTTCCTGGTCTGGTCATTGAGATGTCACACACTTACTGGAGAAATCTGAATAAGAGTGGTGGATTTTATCAATGTCAGTATTCTAGTTGTTAAACTATACTATGGTTTTGCAAAAGTTGCCTTTGGGAGCTCCAGGCAGGTGGCTCGGTTGGTCAGAACGTCTTCCTCTACACCAAGAGGGTTGCGGGTTTGATTCCTGCTCAAAGCACGTACCTAGGTTGTTCGGTCCCGTTCAGTGCACGTAGAGGAGACAACCGATGGAGAACGTTTCCCCTCCCTGCCTCCTCTCCCCTCTCCTAAAATCAAAAACATATCCTCGAGTGAGGATTTTTTAAAACGGGTTATCATTGGGAGAAGCTAGGCAAAGTGTATGAGGGGACCTCTATTTCTTACAATTGCAGGTGAACCTTAAGTGTGTGTGGGGTTTTGCACCAGATCCTCCTCTCCCTGCCAAAATCACCGCAATTGGGAAAACTCGAGACTGGTAGGTGATGGAAACCACCTAAGAACATAAAGATAAAGGTTGTGGCAGCTGAACCAAGCTGAGGTCCTCCTGGGTCCTCAGGTGCTACTGGAGCTACAGAGATGGCCCGGTTCACCCTATTTTTGCCAGAGGCAGCCAATGACATGGACATAGTTAAGCCACTTGGTCAGCTCTCAACTGTGTCCTCAAGCCTTTCCAGAGAAGGTTGGATGACTCAGCTGGGAACCAGGGAGCAGGTCGGGACTTTGGCCTTTTGCCTCCAGACACCACAACCTGACTGTGGTGGGGAATCAGATAAAGGGAAAGGATCAGACATGCCTGGGTTTGAAAGTTCCAGGTAGATGTCCTGGTGTTGTCAGCTTTTTTAGTCTAAAGAGTAGGGAGACCAGCCATCCAAGGCTTCTATCAGAGCTGAGGGCAGAGGGAGGAGCCACACCCCCAGGCAAGGCCTGCCTGGCCTTGCAAGGAAGTGGGGAATCAAGTGATTTCATTTTTTTCTATTTATTTTTCCACAGTATTTGTTCACCATTTACTTATCAAGAGAAACTTTTTTTTTTTCCTCACCCGAGGACATTTTTCCATTTTTTGTACAGATAGAGTGGGAGGGAGAGTGAGGAAGGGAGAGAGAGAGAGAAACATCGACGTGAAGGGACACATCGAGTGGCTGCCACCCGCACGACCAACCAGGGCCGGGGACAAACTGCAACCGAAGTACGTGCCCTTAGCGGGAACCGAACCCGGGTCTCTCCAGACCGCAGGCCGACGAAGAGAAACTTTTTTTAGCCCAGATATTCATGTTTCATCGTCCAGGAACATAGGTCAGTGACGAACTTCCACGGAATTCAACCCAAAGAAATTCTTTATGTTCCAAGGTCACTTTGCACTCCGAAAGATACCAGCCTTCTTCATCTTTCATGGAACCATAGTTTCTGTGGAAGTCTTCATGTGCCTTCTCTCTTGGTTCAGCCACAGCGAACTTATAGAAATCTGCAACTGGAGGACACAGTGATTGGTCCAACGACATGAAATCACAGACGCTTGGCCAGAAGGCCACACATCTGAGGTTTTGTCAAAGCACTGGAAGTGTTACCAGACAGGGGACCTGGCCTTGAGTGTGTCTGCCAGTAGTGTGTGGGTTCTTGACTTCGTGTGGGAAAAGTTTCACAACATGAATCCAGGTGACTATGAGGGAAGGTTTATTAAAGCTGGGACAGTGAAACGAGAGGGCTTAGCATAGAAGCAACAGGAGAGCCCGGGCTGGGCTGCCTTAGCGCTCCAGGAAGTCAGAGAAGAAATGGCCTTGGGGACAGGGTCAGGGGATTAGCCTGGGACCAGCTGCCGCTCCCATTGCTCCCCTGTTTGCAAGTCTCTCATGGAGACCCTTTGATTTTAGGAGGTGCATGCCTGTGGGGGAAGAAGAGGGGGAAGGGAAGGGGGAATGGTGCTCCCTAGAGGTAGAGTGATCCCTAGTGTTGTGAAACTTTTCCTTTGTCTTGAGGCTTTTATCTCTCTTGCAGGCTGGAGTCTCAGGGGAAGTTTCAGCAGAATATGCATCAGTTTTCCAGGTGTGTCCTTCAGAGTGGTGGTCTCCACTGATTGGTCAGTGCCAGAGTGGAGGCGTCATTAGTTGTTGCAGCTGGTCCTGGTTTTGCTGCTTTTCTGGTCCTGGAGCTGAAATACAGCTGAGGACTAGATGTTCTGTCTAGAGAGGTGATCTTCTGTATTTTTCTCAGTTTCCCTGTTCTACTTGTCCTGGCTTACTGGCCTGTCTCAGAAGCCCTGGTAGTTGTTCTCCTCAACAACAATGTCCTTCCAGACTCAAGTGATAGGTTTGAAAACCCAGGCTCCCTTGGCCGCCCATACACCCAAACTTTGTCTTCATCCTCAGGGCTTCCAACCATGTGTCTTGGGGGCTTAGTGGTCCTAGGAGCAGGCCTGGTGGTCACATTGGCTAGGCCAGTGTGTGGAAAGGGCTGGGGTCTCTGTGCCAGAGACTTAGTATGTTTTTACTTCCCTTACTCCTAGGAACACCATTTTGAGCTAGGCAGGGCAGGTGGGGGAACCCCAATTTAAAAATGAGTAAGCTGCCCGGCTGGTGTGGATCAGTGAGTGTCCTTCCATGGACTGAGATGCCGAGTTCAATGCAGAGTCAGGACACATGCCCGGGGTTGTGGGCTTGCTCCCCTGTAGGGGGCGTGCAGGAGGCAGCCTATCAGTGGTTCTCTTTCACATCGCTGTTTCTATTTTTCTCTATCTTCCTTTCTCTCCCCAAAATAAAAGCATACTTAATAAAAACATATTTAAAAGAAAAAAAAAAGGATAGTTTAAAATAAAATAGAAACGAGTAAGCTGAGGCCCTGAGCAATGTGATGACTTCCCAAGGCCCTGGGCATGGGCACAGGCAAGGGCAGGGCAGAATCAATGACAGATGGACCCTTCTTGCTGAACAGCTCTGTAGCTGCTCTAGGGCTGCATCTGAGGCCTGGTTAATTCCTGTGATGAAGTGGACTGTGGTCAGTTAAAGATGTATACTATAAACCTAAGACAACTAGTTAAATACAGAGTTATAGCTAATAAGGCAAGAAAAGAGATAAAATGGAATAAAAAATACTCAAGTGCCCTGGCCAGGTGGCTCAGTTGGCTGGAGCATCATCCCAATCACCAAAGGCTGTGGGTTCAACTCCTGGTCAGGGTATATACAGAAGGCAACTGATTGATGTTTCTCTCTCAAATAGATGTTTTTCTTTCTCTTGCTCTCTAAAAATCAATAATAACATCCTCAGGTAATGATTAAAAAAATACTCAAATAATTCCAAAGAAGGTAGAAAAAGAGGAAAATGGGAACAAAGAACAGGTGAGAGAAATAAAACCAAACAGGATGATAAACAAAACCTAACTATATCAAAATCACATTAAAGGTAAATGGTGTATACAACCCAATTAAAAGGCAGAGACGTCAGAATGGATAAAAAGCAAGACCCAATTATATGCTGCCTGTACGAAATGTACTTTCGTTTAAAATTTTTGTTTATTGATTTTTTTTGAGAGAGAGAGAGAAAGAGAAAGGGAGGGAGAGGGTGAGAAACATTGATTCGTTATTCCATTTATTTATGCACTCATTGGTTGCTTCCTGTATGTGCCCTGACTGGGGCTTAAACCCCAAACCTTGGCATATCGAGACAGCACTCTAACCAACTGAGCTACCTAGCCAGGACAAGAAATGCACTTTAATATAAAGATTCAAATAGGATAAAAGCAAAAATTAGCTTATGCTAATTAAAAGTAGGAAGGCTACAATAATATCAGACAAAGTAGATTTCAGAGTGAAGAATATTACTAGGGATAAATAAGGTCAGTTCATAATGATGAAGGGGTTAATTAATCAAAGATATAAAAATCTTAAATGTTCATGTGCCCAATAAAAGCTTCAAAATATATGAAACAAAAACTGATAGAACTGCAAGAAAAGACAATCACAATTATAGTCAGAGATTTCAATACTGCTCTTTTAGTAACTGATAAAACAAGTAGACAAATGATCAGCCAGGATATAGTAGACTTGAACAACACTGTGTATCAGCCAACTTGACTTGACTGATGTTTTGAGAATACGCCACCTAACAACAGTAGAGTATATATTCTCAAGTGCCCATAGAACATTAATCAAGACAAATCATATTCTGGATCTTAAAACAAATATCAACAAATTAAAAAGGATTCAAGTTATATAAAGTATGCTCTGAG